TGAGGTAGAATGCATTTAACAGGTTAGAAATAAAATATAAAAAAAGCAATAGAAAGACGCGTGACAATGAGAGCCGGAACTAAAAGCATGTAGTAACTAATAATAGTTAATTAATTTGTATACGAGTATAAAGGTTGTCTCACAGTGTTTAGGCAATTTTACATACAAATTGTTTAATAAGTTTTTCCATTAATGGTAAGTATATTGATTATCATGTATTGATTTGACTTAGATAAGTTAAAGTGGGAAATTATAAACAAATAGAGGAAATGTAAACTACATTTTTTTAACGTAAAAATAAAAATTGTTTAATGTTTTTTTAATATATGTAATACATTAACATGTTAAAACTAAACAGTAGCGCAACCAGAAATGTCCCTTGGGGGGTCTAAAGTACGGTTTTTAGGTATAAGGTCCATGTGTAATATAAGAAAATGACAATATGTGATTATGATTTGTTATCTGCCGCAAAGCAGGCCAAAACAAAACACTTACAATTGTCCTATTATATGCCCTTGACCTTAGGTACAAAATACCTATACTTGTGGTTGATTCCAATTTATTTTTCATGAGGAAAATAAAAATATTATTTATAAGAAAATTCTTCTTAGAAAATGGGCAGAGATTACTACACGATATTTACATAAAATAAACAATTGCGAGTTGCGTGCCGCGAATTAGGTACAACAGGTCGAAGATATAAATGCAAGTAGACTTGACTATAATAATTTATGGTAATCGATAAGTAGGGTATTAATATAATCCAAGATGACACGGATGCATACCGAGTTGTACATTGAAAAACTAAATACCTACTAATTCTATATAGGTTTTAGCCATAACAATATTGCACACTTCCGGTTATATTTTGTCGTATTCATTTTTTATAATATGTTAGTCTACGGTTTAACCATCAAATGTAGGAAGATGGGCATTGAACAAGTTACTATAAATGGATTATTTTATAATTCAGATTATTGTGTGAAATCGTCGAAATATTCCTACAACATTCAGTTCATTATAGCACTATATGTCTGTAATAACTGTGAATAAGTGTGTAAGTCGATTTCAGTGATTTTACAGGGGTTTTTTTTTTTTTTGAGCGATTTTAAGCTTAAAAGAAACCACTTGACTATCTCTGAAGTACTTATTAATATAATAGATCATAAAACAATTTTAATGTTTGAAATGAAATCCTGATTTATGGCAGCTGGTCAAAGTTTAAAATCGCTTCTCTGTAAAATCACTGGAATCGACTTACACACTTATTCACATTTATTACAGATATATTTTTTAATTTTGACTAGCCATTATTGAACAATATTATGGCTCATTAACTACAATATATTATAGGTGTGATGTTTAAATCAGCTTAAAATAAATAATTATTATTTATAAATATTTTTAATTAAATAGAAAAGTCAACGCCTAAAATAAATCCAATGATAATTCCTTTTTTGTTTTAATCAATAAATTATCATTACTATAAATTGATTGATTATATTTTATCAACTGTTGAAAACTAAAAGAGGTGTGAGGTAACGCATTAGCTATATTCGTTTGTTATGTAATGGGTTTTTAGATATATTCGCTGTTATCATTGTCGAGGGCTTGTTATAGTGAGGCGGGATTATTTAATTTTGTTCGTGCGTAGGAGAATTTTGAACAGTCAATCATGATTTAATAAAATAATAATAAAAACCCTTTACCATAAAAATGATATACTCTCCGCGTACGTCGTATTTCGGCAACAATGTTGTCATCTTCAGCACTCACGACAGACTGAATGATTTGTTTTATTGATAAGTTTTATGTACGCATGATTATTATTTCTGTTTCTTGTTGATAAGGGATGATACTTCCATGAGGCATGATTTGACATTGAGTTTGACAGCTTTGAGTTTATTTGAACGTGGCGTGTTATTCAAATAGTTTTGCCGTGTTTCCGTTATTTTGTTTTTGATAGTGTTTATTGCTTCTTTTGTTGTAGTACTGTGTAATGCTGCGTAGTGACTTCGTTGGCTACTTGATCTCTCTTCTCTACAAAATATAAATAATTATATACAGACATACGGTATTACTTTAATAACATAAAACATATTTAAGCTATTTGCTTTTACACATATATACTAAAAAGAGTACTAGAAGTATACTATAAACTACTTGATAAATCAATAATTAGCACGTTTCACGTTGGTCATTAACATACTTTATATAAATTATCTATATCCTACATTGCATTAGTAGTATAGGATATAGTATTAATGAGTCGTTAATAATAATATACTTATTTTGAGGTTTAACGATCATCGAAATTAATTTGAATAGTTTTTTAATTATTTTAAAAATCCGGTTATTTTCATTATTACTTAGCAGTCAACTCAACGAATTAATTCGATTAAAACAATTTTGTGAATTTATATATGTACTATACGTATGCATTGAAATAAAATAAATAATGATGTATTTATCGTTTGTGTTAGATCAATAATAAAAATGTTGATTGGTGACAGTTTTCTGTATTCAACAGCAGCAAACCGCTGTTGATTATGAAAAGTAAATCGTAATTTATTTTAATAATGATTAATGTGCTATTATTTACTTTCCTTTATTAATTAAAATGTATATTAATATAATTGTAAAAAATGAATAAAAGTATTCAACGTGTATTTAAAGTATTATATAGCTAGCTTATATACATAGATTATTATATAGCATTGGACTTACATTTTCTTTGAATGAATCCTACTTTTATCTAGAACAAATTTATATCCATTTATCGATATTTTATATATATATATATAAACGATAATGTTACGGTTTATATTTTAATCTATAACCATGGATTCATGGCTAGTTATATGATTATTTCCAATATGCTGTATCTATGACCAATGTCGAACATAATATATTAGTTTAAGATTATAGTTTTTTGTATTTCCTTTTAAAAACTTTTTATTTCATTAAAATATAATATTGAGTTAATCCTTATACATCGATTTAAATTTCGTTCGTTCGCATTGGTATCGAAGCAGTCATTTATAACAGTTAATGACGTCTTATTGAGTTCTGTGTGACATGAGTTCAAAATGAGTCAACTAGAACACACTTACTTGAAAAATGATGATATTAAAATAATATTATTAAAACATATTTTACCCTAAATAAGAAATTATACATTTCTTATATTAATAATGCCAATGTATATTGTAGGAACTAAATTAATAATTGATCCTCTTAATGATAAATAATTCTAGATAAAAAAGTGGCTTACACTAAGATGACATTAATAAGAGTTGCCACAGAATATTTCACTTTTTATCGAAACTTGAAAATAAGTTATTCGGCAGGAGCTTAATGATAACGTTATATTCCGCAAATCAAAACATATTTAAATAAAACATATTTTTCATTAATTATTATTCGTGTTTTCAGTTTAAATAATTAGTTAAATTTATGTCAATCTTGTAATAACTCTCAAATTGAAAATGCGAATTATCATTTTCAAGCTAAATATTTTTTAGGTTTATAGTTATAGAAAGGGAGGCATTAAATTAAGTTTTAATAGGAGTTATTCAAGATTTGCATTATTTGGAAATGTTTAAAGTTGTTCGCATGGAAATGTTGTCTGAAGAACGCGTACGTAGGAGTTTGTATTTAATTATCTGTTTTCATGACATTAATTCAATATTAATACTGATAATTTTATAGAAAAAAATACATTTTTAAAAGTATAAAATGTTAAATTTTTTTCTAAAAACCTAGTGGTGGTCGGTGATTACAACATCTATCGACTAATAAATGGTTATAGTTTATTAAGTATTTTAACTATAAAAATTGTAGGCGTAAAAAAATAAAGAAACAACTAGATAATAAGAAGATATTATTTGTTACTAAATACATATGTGAAATGTAAGATTTTTAGAAACATTGACCTCTTATGATTAAAAGCTTTCAATGAAATTAATTTTAATAATTGTTGTTAATTTAATACTTAAAATTACTCGACATTTGCTTAGTTTGCTATCTAATAATTATAATAATTTTAATATTTATAGGTTATCTAATGATTGTGAGATGCTATGATAATATATCATGCACGCATTTTTCAAATTTATTTTAGTTAGATGAAATTCGTGCTAAATTGATTTAACTACACTACCTAATTGAGATAACCTCTATAATATTTACCACTGATAACCCGACTAATTTGTATTTTCAATTAAATGTTCAGTACACAATTGTTGCCAAAATTATTAGTAAACGTGTGTCCAATTTTTTTATTGTGTAATTTTTTGTTCTTAGATATTTTTTTTGTGCGCGATAAATTATTTATATGATTTTTTTTTTATATTTCATATAATTTACTTTTAATTCTTTTAAGGGGCGGTACTGTAATCCGATAATTATAACATTTGAGCGGAACGGCTTTTTATGAGAAACGCTTCGAGATTTTTTTTTCGTTATAAACGGAACTTAACACTTTGCAATGACCTCGGTTGAGAAACGACCGGCGTGTCCGGAAACGACGATTTTAGTGTCATCCTTCCGGAAAACAGCATTCGTATAGTTTCACCGGTATAAGGCACCTGGCATACGGATTTCGCGACATTATAATATTACTGTGCACACCGACATTTATATATATATATATATATATATATTGTCAATGTTAATCCAGGAAACGTCATCGCGCACCGCACGGGCATAATCGTCGCAAAGAGAGAAAAAGAAAAGGGAAACACTGTACAGGACTAGAGCGCTACGTTTTCGCATGCACATTATTATACTAGCTACGCAAATACCTAGCTGACGATAACGTTATTTATCTATCTCTCTCTATAGTCGGTGGTTTGGATTTACCGATGATAATTGATTGGTCTTAAACGGACACCGAAGAAGAACATAATATAGCAGCAGCCGCGGCTACCACCGCTTACTTTCCGGCCCCTCCTAAGCGGAACTCTGCACAGCAACCGTCGGCGGATCCACCGGTATCAGACACATGTGCTGGCAGTCCTCCGCCACAGCCGACAACGTCCGTACGATGGCCGAGTGTGCTTAATTAAGGTAACCGTAAACATGTGAACGCGCGTGTGCGGGTGTTTTCTTACCGTTTTTGGACCATTCAAAATCGTTGATTACTCACATGAGACGACTTACTCGAAGAAACTGCAGACACGAGCACACGCTGTACTTATAGCATTGGGATTGGAATATACTTAAGACACGATATTAACGCTATATTATATTGTTTCATCCCGTAAGTAAACCTTTGTTTTCTTCTCGAAACACCAACGCGTGACGTGTAGTACGAACATGTCGATTTATTAAGTTTTTGTGGTACAATATAGATTTTTTTATGTTGTACTGCTCTGTAATTTCGGTTTAACCGAAAATTGTGTCTCCCCCCCGCGCTTGCTAGATTCTGTCGTCGGCTGACACAAACCCGGCTTCCCGCCAGGACTCGACGGGGAAGCAGGACCGTTTAATCGCATGTATCACGTTCCTTCTTAATTTGGTATTAAATCTTAGGGCCCAGCATTCACTTTCGATCCTTCGGTTAGACCGTTAAAATGGGTTTATACAAGGTGATCCATCTGATGTAAGACACTAATTTTCTTGGAAAATATGGAATATTTTGAAAACAATTTTTTTCCTATACTTTTAGGTACAAGTTTTACTATACTTTTAAATACTTTTAAATTTTTTACCTTCATCGCTTTTACGTAAAATGGGAACATACGTTTTTAATTCTATAAACATGTAGACAAAATTGTTTAAAAATTGTTAGGTCTTGAATTTTAAATTTTAATTTTAAACTCAAAACTGTGTCTGGTTATTGATGTTCTTGCCTATGGAACAATGCGAACATAAATATGAATTTTGTGGGCTATTGGAATTTGGAAATTTAATATCTTAGCCAAAGTCATATAAGTAAACAAATAGATTGATGAAAATTCAAAATTCAAACCCTAACTTTTTTTTTAATGTTTTGTAAAATAATTCGGTAGAAATATAGTTAAGTGCTCTAGAACTCACAACCGTGAGTATATGATTAGTATTAGGGTTTGTCTTTTCTAAAAACTTATTTCCGGTGTTCCCAAATCCTAATAGACAAATCAACAACATAACGAAAATATTTTTCGGATAACTGTTGACTATTAATTCATTCACAAAAATAGCCACCTGGAAATTTAATACGGTCAAAGTATGGACATTATTTGGTAGGCAGTTTGATTAGTTTTCTTCTAGATTTTAAAGGGTGAGCTGTGAACTTTAAACATAATATTTAAAAAACCGTACCTTTTTAGCTCCGCGTGGAAGTTAAAGTTATATTTACATATTAAATTAGAAATGAATACATTAATGAATACCATCGATTAAACATTAAATTTAATCAGTTGACCTCACAATTGCGTCTTGTAAAGTATAATAACAATAAGTAGAAAACATGAAATATAATATTAACTATTGACACATTTTACTTGTTGGTAATTGGAAAAATGTTGATGAAATGACATACAAGTCGGTACTAGACATTTTTTTATTGTACAACAAACACTGTTTCAGACAATTTCCGTACGGCAATCGACGTCTTCAGTTAAATTGCTCGCAGCCATGGCATTGTTTTGTTGATCGAAATATAGTATACTTACTATAGAAATGACACTATTTGATGTATCAATTTATTTGTATACAAGGTACACTTGTTTAGTTCACAGTAGGGCAATTTCACTCTTATAAATGATTGTTTTTTTCTTAATTGCAATAACCAGTAAACGTGAAATGAATTAAGATATAATAATATAATAATTTTGCATTACACTAAAAAAACCGACAACCCTCGTTTATTATCCTACTTCCTTTTATTATTTTTGTTTAGTGTTAGACAAATGATATAATTGAACAAAACATTTTATTTTAAATAAATATTCGATCAAGTTTTTTAGATGTAGGCTATTATTATAAAATTGTTTTCGACGACACATTTCCTGCATTAAAAATAAAAAGCCTAGCATTACATCTACTAAAAAATTCAATTTGGATGTACAAATCCTGAATAGGAAAATGTAAATCCGGTTATGTGACGTACACTGCAATACAATTGTACATAGATTTTGGTAGATTAGGGTTAAGATGAGAGATGGTCTATAGTTATATAAATATAGGTGTGTAGTTTAAAAAAATGCAACATTCCCGAAAACACCTGTTCAGTGAGTTAAAAAAATATATATATTATTTCCAGTAACACAAAATACAATATTGGGTTGATTTTATTGGCCAATTTTAACAGCTGTCGATCATAAAGTCAATGACAGTTAAACATCCAAGTGGATGTACACTATACATTTTGATTTGTTTATGGTATATTTTGGTTTCAATTTTAACTACGGTTGATCGCGGTTAGTGTGTCATCTTAACGTTTGAAGATAGCGAGGTAGTTTGTGTTCCTAAGCAGCTAGCACAAAGTTTTTATACCTGTACATCTATAAAAACACATTTTTTATTTATTTTTGTAAAAAGTTATATAATACTTTGCGACTTCTACATGTCTATTAATCAGATATTTGACTAGGCTTAAACAGAATTTTTAGACAAGAGTGTAGTTAATTAATTTTTTTTTTACTTGGGTGGCTATTATTTAAATGACATTATACTGGACATGCATTCAATGTATTACCACGAAAAGTAACATAAATACTATAATACTAATATATTGCGTACCTACGGAATTAATATATTGTAATTATAGTAATTATGTTTTTACTACTCTTAATTGTGTTCATATACATAGAATACAATTTGTTATACATTAAATTACAATTAAATGTCTAATTGCCGGTTTCTATTCTATAATTAAAGGATTACTAATTATCCTAAAATTTATTTAACTATTGACTTACGTTTATGGTACTTGTAAAAGTACATGAAATATTTCATTTTCTAATTTTTATAAGTAGTATATTAAATATACAGTATTAAATATTTATAATATACTTTAATAATCTGAAATTAATAAAAATATAAGTTTCGCCGAATGTCTCTATGTACTATTGTAGGCCATAATAGTATATTTTAGAATTATATATAAAATAATTTTTATGTAAAATGTATCATATTTTGCAGTTCAGTTAATATTTTAACTTAAATCATTAGACAGTCACTGTAACATAATGATAAAATGCTTGAACTTTTAAAAAAAGTATCTTTATTGTAAATAATAAATAAAATACCGGATAACAACGGTAATTGAATAACTCGGAGTACGACGGATATAACGTCCGTTCGGCTATAGCGACACATTCCAAGTGAATTATAATTTTACCAGGTTTGCGGAATAGTCGTTCCCGCAGGCTCAAGTATACAGTATAATGTATTATGTTGTGTGCCTATTGGATTTTGTAGAAAATTCTCTCGTCCCCCGTGATTTGCAATAGTTTTTTCTATTTATATTTACTAGACAGGATATTATACTCAAGAGAGAAAGCGATCGTGTACAATTGCAGGAGATACCCGAGGGACAGACAGCATCAATGATAACTCATTATAAATGTGTGTGAGTTTGTGTGTTGGTGCTTATCCTCGATTTGCCCAAGTGACCTAGTGGCGAGTACGACCGGTGCGACACGCATCTCCGCTATTAGCATATTATCCTCATAATTTTCAGTGAAATAAAGTGAAAACAGTAAAAATATATTTTAATAAATAAGCGCATTTTTACCTGCATATAGAGAAAAACAAACTTGTCCTTGGCCGGTCGACAGTATTTATACATATATACATGTATTAGGTATGTATAGAATATTGATTTCTAATTTTTGTTCAGTTACCTATATTTTACTGCACTGTAAGTCAGATGCTCTCAACGTTCCATATTATGTTTTAATAGTATTCACAGGCGGGAGTCATCCACGAATCGTTAGATTTGAATTACATTACACCAGCGAAGCAAACGGAGCGCGTCGCCACTATGTGCGTTTTCGGCTTTGAACTTGGTATCTCGTGCGTTGCCTGTGAAATGACCTGAATCCTTAAGCACACATTAATAGGCCGCACTAGAGCAATTATTTGCAAACAATCGTATTAAGGTGCTCCAAAACACTCGTGCACGAAAAACGATCAATTCGTAGTACGGCCGTATGCAATATATCTGATTGAACGATTTTTAAATTGAATTTAAAACACCTCCCGTTACAAAAATGTCCCAGTTAAAATCGTACTAAAATTTTATGAAGTAGAATAATAATGATTCCAACTATATTTTTGTGTGAGTATAAAGAACACGTCATGAAAACCCGAATTAGGTATAATATAATTTGTCTTAATGAATGCTAAAAACAGATCATTTTATCTAGAGAATATAAACATTGATATAAGTTAATCTATCGCCATATTTTTGTCGATATCACAACGTCCTAGTGATGGGAATCCGAAAATCCGGATTTTCACAAAAAAAAAAAAACGCAATTTAAGCCACTTAGAAATAAAATAAGTGTTAAATATTTTTACAGTATAAAGCTGTGTACCCGGGTAAAATATTTTTTATGAAAATGTAAAAATAAAACACAACACCAAAAAAAATCGCTTTTGGATTTCGGATTTGTTGAAATCCGAAAACATTTTATTGTTAAAGTTAAGAGTTTTTTTTTAAACTTAACAAAACATTTCACTTAGGTACACGACGTTATATTGTAATAATATTTATAAGATCTTCAATCGACTTAAATAGCGTTTTTTTGAAAAATCCGGATTTTCGGATTCCCATCATTACAACTTGCATAACATAAAAGTGACAATAATAAATAATAATTTTTTCTGGAAATTCTTGCTTTAATTTTTACTCGCCGATCGATGGTCTATCTATTTCTACCAAAAACTTGATATCCAGTTAATCGAGTTGCATCAAGTGGTAAAACGCTGTTGTCACGAGTCACATGACGTATTTTATATGCGTGCCCTCGAGGTGATTTCGCCGCGATGGCATACATATACTGTCAACAAGATCTAGGTTTTATTAAACATTTTCAGGAAGTCGATTAATCGGCAAACAGAGTAAGCGAACCGTTTTATTATTGCAGCAAACGTGTGTCAAATAAAAACACAAACCATGTCACGCATCTTATTGGGTTGATCTTAATTTATCGACTTAATTAGGTTTGAAAATAAAAAACAAAACTGTCGAAGCCCTGTGCAGCGACAAAAACAATGCTGGAACGTATTGATGTGTTGTTGCTGACTGTAGTTGTGTATAACTAATAA